TTAACTGAGAATGATGAGTTGTGTTTGTAACGTGGTGACTTTAGTGAAAACCAACCTCTCACAGAGATACTTTTTCAAACTTCTGTATCTGCTGTATGATGATCATCGTGCTGATTATATTCACTACAGTTGTTTCTATATTTATTTCCGTCTTTGTTTTTAAACAGCTGCAGATGTGAAAGGTCACTTCCTCATTGTCACAGCTGGAGATGAAGTCACTTTGCCTTTTGACAATGTGCTCCATGATCAGGATGAGTGTGAGAGTGCTACCTGGACCTTCAGTGATTTCAGCAGCTCAGTGACGCTGTTTGAAGACGGGCAGATTCACAAAGAAGCCAAAGCTAAACCAGACAGACTGTTCTCTGGTTATAAAGAAGGTCACAGAAGAGGATGCTGGACTTTACACCGAACATGAGCATGAATCGAATAGAACATTTAGCAGGACTCGACTTGGACCTAAGGATTTGTCTAGAAGCTGATGAAGTGTTCTCTCTTCTCCATCATCCCTCTACGAGTTAACCTCCTCCGCTCAGTGTCCGACAGTCTGAGGGGTCAGAGAGTTTCTTTTCTAACCCCGGCAGAACATGCAGGTTTTATTTCAGACTCTGTCTAAACATTTACAAACCCTCCATGTTCAGTGCGAGCAGGACGTTTCTAATGTCTGGGTTTAAGTTACTCTTTAACTCAGTGACTTGAAAGTGACCCTGGAATCTGACATTCACAATGGAAATCAACTCTGGCATGACCAAAGTGACTCAGACTTTACCTTTTAACCTTAAGGGCCAAATATGAGCATGAATCGGATAGAAAACTTTGTAGGACTCGACTTCGACTTAAAGACTTAGAAGCTGATGAAGTTTTCTCTCTTCCTCATTATCTCTGCGAGCAATCATCCTCCGAGTTTCTTTTCTAACCCCGGCAGAACATGGAGTTCTATTTCAGACTCTGTTGGTCTGGTTTGTTTCTTTAACTCAAAACAATCATGTTTCTGAAGTGATTGGCTCCAATCACCAAACAGATCATTGCAGCATTACCCATAACCCCCTCTGTTTCAGCCCTGTTTCCAAAGTGCTGATTCTCTGTCTGTTACTTTAGATGAAAATAAGGAGCCCCTCCCCACGCCCCTCTGAGAGACATTTGGTTACAAAGAACTCAATGGAGCTTTAGGAGGAGATTCAGGTGATAAGGGGGGGGGGGGGGTTACATTGGTTGCTGATTGGCTAATGGTTACACAAGCCAACACATCGTTATGACATCACAAAGTGGCCAAAATCTGATCAGCTCATTTTCAGACAGGTTTTTATAGAAATTGTTTTTACCCTATCGATCTATCTATCTATCTATCGATCTATCTATCAATCTATCTATCGATCGATCGATCTATCCATGCATCTATCTCTCTATCTATCTATCTATCTATCTATCTATCTATCTATCTATCCATCCATCTATCTCTCTATCTATCTATCCATCCATCCATCTATCTATCTATCTCTCTCTTTCTAGCCTCCCAGCTGCAGCGCCAAGTCAGGAATCGATCCACACAGCCAGCTCTCAGTGAAGCACAAAACACAAGATGAAGAAAATTCTTTGTTTCTACTAACCAGTAGCTGAAGCTCGTCCAGTTCATTGCTTACGGAACGTTGGAGGAGAGAAATATTCCGGGTAGCGGCGTGCGAATTCCGCGGCTCCGGAGGCGCACCAGTGTCCCGGCCCGTTTCCCTCTCCTGTGGCGTTTGAGTGCTCGGATGCAGGTGAAGGTAGCTTTTACGAGAATGTCCAGTAATTCCACGGAAGAACAGAGAAAAGTGGGGAAGTAATCCGCTGAAGTTGTTTCTCTAATGCTTAGGAGCTCTTCCCTGGTGAAAGAGTTCAGTGTACAGACTGAATTAACGCACAAAACAGAGCGCACCAAAACATTGAGGCGGCCAATCTGCGGCGCCATCTTTGTAAGACCCAATAACAAAGACGTCCTCACAGACATTTGTAAGACACTCCATGCTTTAATGTTCAAAAAGCTCTTTCTTGTTCTCACACTGCCTGTGCTGCAGCCCCTCTTTTCACCCTCTGTCTGAAACCAGAGCCCAGTCTGCTCTGATTGGTTAGCTGGCCGGCTCTGTGGTGATTGGTCAACCGCTTAGAGATGTCCCGCCCCTTAGCCTATCACATACAATGTGTTGGAGTGCTAGCCAATAGAAGTGTGAGTGTAACATAGTGATGTCACTGTGTTCAGTAAGTATACAAAGGAGTCTAATGGAGGCGTTTTAGGCGGGGGGGGGGGGGGGGGGGGGGGGGGCGTGAAAAGCACAGGGATTTTAGTCTTTGCAGACCAGTTACATGAATACAAACCTATAAAACAAACTACAGGAGAGGGAAACCCCCAAAAGGCACAATAGGATCTCTTTAATGTGTCTAAACTTTATACTCAAATGTGTGTGCTTCTTATCTGCTCGCCCCTTAAATCATGTTGAGCTATAACACAGAGAAACTAGCCAATAAGAATGTAAACAACACAGCATTCATATATATATTGAATGGCCCCTTTTACATTCACCTCGTTTTACTTCCAACGTCTCACCAAAAATGCGATGTCCAGAAGAAGGCAGAAGACGTGGAGCCGTGGATTTGTGCCAGTTTTTCCTTTGCATCGAGTCCTCTAGGGCGGGGGGTCAAACTCAGTTTCATCGTGGGCCACATCAGCTTTATGGTTGCACTCAAAGGGCCGGTCGTAACTTTCAATCTCAATCTTTATTTATTTATATAAAATATGTAACCTCAGTTGACCAAAGTGCTGCACAGGGAACAAATATAAAATAACACAATAGGAGTAAAATAATAAAACAATAATACAAAATAAAATAAAAAAGTAACTATAGATACAGATAAAAACACATACAACTATCAAAATGTTATGATCAACTAGTATTAAAAGCCAGTTCAAAACTTTAAGACTACATATAAATACATATTTAAATATATCATATATATAAAATAATGTTTTATATCACATTATTGCCTCTGCATTGGATTATTATCGGATAGGGTAATAATAACTTCATTATTAACTTAGTCTGAAAAGCAGAAGTCTAGGGCAAATAAGTGCAAGTCTCTTCAGTGTGCACGTCACAAAATGAGATGCATTGTGGGACATGTAGTTTATCGACAACGTCTAAAGTAGCTACCGTTAGCAAACCCGAAAAGAGTGGCAACTGTGGAGTTACAGTAGCTAAGAGAAGGAGAGTTGTGAGTGCTTAAGCTGTAGTAACGTGTGATTACAACGTCAGGCAGTTGCCGTGATCAAGAGTTTTAAAACGATCGATTAAGTTAAGATAATATAAGCTATCAGCAACAGAACAGGCACACGGGATACCCGGAGATGACAACAACAAACGGAAGTTACAACATGCTTACCGCAATAGTGGTCCGTGTAGGGAATCTCCCCGCGATCGACCGGTCGATCAACTGGTTGGGCACCCCTGGTCTACAGTCTCTGTCAGGGTCGGCGTCATGGGGGGTCATTCGCGGGCCATGCCCCCCCAAATGAGTCACTGTGCCCCCCCAACGCAGGGTGGGCAAGCCTTGTCACTTTGCCGATTTTTTCTTTTTTTTATCATATAGGCTAAGTGAAAACGTTTCCACTAAAGGTTTTTTGTGTGAAATACATCAGAAATAAATTATACAAATATAAAACACAGCCTGAGGTGTGCTCACTGCTGCTCTCTGATTGGTGTGTTGCTTGACCAATGACCCCCGACTTTTTTGTTTGTTATCATTACGTGGCTGAGTGTTTAGATGAAAGCCCAGTGGCGATCTGTTCATCTGTTATACTGATTATACAGTAAAGCCATCGAAAATAATATGATATACAGTACAGTACAAGTACATGGGTCTCTGTGTTTCATTCAAGCTCTGTGTGTGTGTGGCACGAGCGCATTTTGTGAGTGCGCGAGCGGTAACGTGGAATGTTGTGGTTAGCATCTGGTTAGCTAGCTATGCTAACGGATATAAAGGGCTGTTTCTACACCAAGGTGGAGGAGAGTCCTCTCCTGTCAGACTGAGAGGATCTTATAACGTCAGCTCAGTGAGGTAAGGACTCTCTCAGTGTTTAGATAGTTCACTTTAGTGTAAGTTATCTCAGTGGGTCTCAAACGGTTTGGTCACAATTTATGTAAGTATTTTCGAGGAATACCTTTATATGATCATTATAGTTATTAAAGAGAGAATAAATGAAAAACGGGTACGAAATACTATAGGACAGTAACACAAGAATACAGTTTAAAAGGGGAATGATTAGTGAAATATCCATAAAGAAAAAGTAAATCTGTGTACAGTTCTGTTTCATATGGATGCTGAGAGATGTAGGCTATCCATAGATCTCTTCATTTTGCTCTCAAAGTGCACCAGATTGATGCATTTAACTTCAATATTTTAAAAATAATCTTCCCGGGGGAGCATGCCCCCAGACCCTCCTAGAGGAGGTTAGGTCCACCCCCACCTAAAACATGTTCACATGGATAGGATACTAAATACATTTGCACACTTTTTATATGATGGCCTATGTCCATATCAAATCAAATCAAGTTTTATTTATATAGCACATTTTTCAACGATTTTTGGTCGAGCCAAAGTGCTGTATATATAATAAAAAATAACCTACAGTAAAGACACTTTACAGCAAATACAACAGCACAGTTTGTGCAGAATATCAGTATGAGAAAACGACACCCTCTGTCCTTATATGTTTCTGTTTTGGTGGTCGTGCCACAACCGTGCATGTATGCACAAGTCATAGGGGCGCTATACAATAGCACTACACCCTGCAATGTGTGTGAAAGACAATAGACTTTACAGCATGTTTTTTTAAATTGAAGTTGCGTTGGTGTTTGTGTGTTGGTTGTTGACGGCAGTGTGTGCCCCCCCTTGGTAAATGATTGCCCCCCCATTCAAGTTGTTCTAGAGCCGACCCTGGTCTCTGTATATAAAATCTCAATATTAGCAGTACTTATAGCACCGTACCTTCATTTCTCACAGTAACTGCTTCACATGTTCAAACATATAAGGGTTGATTTCATGAAATATCTAAATTGTAAAATGATTCTGAATCTTTTTTTGTTTGTTACATGTGCTCTTCAGGGAATACCAGTCAAACTTGTTGGTGTATTAATGTAGGTATGGCTTCAATTCGCTTTTGCAAATGAACTATTCATTTATGTTCTAATTAGCAACCCAGCAAAACACACAAAAGCATCGGGAAAACGAGCACGAAAGCACCTTTTAATCAAACATGAACACCATCTGGGGAAATCTGCATTTTGGTAAGAGGGCGCTGACGTCAGTAAGAGGACGCAGAGCTCATGTTACCCAGTTTAGACAAAACCCTGGTAAGGGCAAAGCGAGCAGTTATAATAAGATTTATATTAATGATATTATGCTTTTATTGGCTTAATAGCATCAAACAGAGAGTACAGCAGCAGCTTCATGAAAACATGTGAGTCCCTCTAGAGGTGGGTTGCAGACATGTTGGATATAAACTGTATTCTTAATACTTACAGCATGGGCTTGAAATGTATTGTATTGTCATTATTTGCATCTAATGTTGTTTGTTATATATTTTAATGGAATATTGCTTTTTCTTCTGTGCATTTGATTGTTTTGCGTTTTACTAAATAAAGTGACCTATTAACCTTTCTTGTAAGGTTTGTCATGACATAGCTTTCACAACCTGGACTGAATGGCATTACTTACGTACACCTGCACTGCCTTTTGTGACTGCTGTTCATCCTGTGTCTATATAAAGGCATATCACCCTCTACCCACTACTGTTTATCTGGTCAGCATTAGGGGTTTGAACCTGCAGAGCTCTGCTGCTGGTGTTAACCACATCCTCCAAACAACACCTCTCCTTCAGTTCTCTGACAAAAGTTACACATAAAACTGCAAAGATACCGAGAGGAACCAGCAGGTTGTTAACTTTTATTAAAACCAAACGTTTTTACATTCTCACATTCCTCTGTTGCATTGATGACCAAACCTAAAAGTCTGATGTTACAAGAGATTTACACAAGAAAGAATAAAAGCTCATTTAAAGTCAACAGCCGTCAGAGGAGAGATGAAGTTAGAATTAGGAAGTGACTCTTCATTACCACAGGAAGCAGGTACTGAGTTCTTGTTAAAGAAGCAGCCGGTTAGAGACTCTGACAGTCGAGAGCCAGAGACCGAGAGAGAAGCACGATGTCTGAATTCAGAAGGATCATGATGTCTTCATTCCTGATGCTGCTGCTCCACTTTCCCAGGTGAGGATGCAGAGAACACACACTGTTTACGACTGTTAATGAAAGCTAGTGAGGGCGTATCTCAATTGAAATCGATGTATCCTTGGGCGAGATGCTGAACCCCAAGTCGCTCTCAATGGGGAACGGTGTGTGAAAGATACCTTCTGTCCTGGCGTTTTGATCCGTTTCTACATTTAATATCCACGTTCCTCTATCGGGGTGTGGGCTACGACGCGCCTCTCTCTGCTTCCTAACTAACTTTGCAGAGATCGTTGTAGCGTTGAATCACATCAGGTTTATTCTTTGATCCAGGCGACATTCAAACATGAAGACAAACTTCCTCGCTTCAAAGTAACTCAAAGTTCTCCGTATCAATAAAGAACAAAAAGAACACGGTCAAAAGACTCTACCGCTTCCTGTCTAATCACACCCTCAGCTGTGAACCAACGTCATGCCATATATAGAGATACAGACATGCAGACATGCACGTCACATCTGACCGCAAATAAGTGAGGCTTAAAACTAAACATCTTTTAAAGCGTAGTGTGGACTCACTAAAATAGATAGTTAAGAGTTTCCTCTAAAGCCTTTTAGTAATAAGACAAACATTCAAACCATAACGATGAAAGGGAAATGGCTCTAACCCCTTCATTGAGCAAGGGGCACATTGCTCTGTATGAACTGGGGGTGAATGGGTGACTTGTTGTATGTAAAGCGCTTTGAGGGGTGAGAGACTGGATGAAGAGCTTTATGAATACAGTCCATTTACCATTTACCAAGTACATGAAATAAAACAGCTCTAATATCACTAACGGTACTTTACTACGTACTGTTCCTTTAACTGAGAGTGAAGAGTTGTGTTTGTAACGTGGTGACTTTAGTGAACTCTTGCTCACTAAAACCCACATAGCAATATTCTTGAAAGTGATCGTCACACTCACTATGAACGCTTCAGTTAGTGATGTGGATCTGTAATTAACTCTGGTTTGAATGTGTCGTTAAATGATTCATTAAACAGATCAACCAGAACTCTAACTCTTTACCTTTTTATATAATAAATCATTATTCTGTCAGCATTTATCACGTCTATATTTCCTTCTGATTGTCCCCAACAGCTGCAGCTGTGAGACGTTACATTGTCAGAGCTGGAGATGAAGTCACTTTGCCTTTTGACTATGTGATACATGATCAGGATAAGTGTGAGAGTACTAGGTGGTACTTCAGTGATTCAAGAGGTTCACCAGTGACGCTGTTTGAAGACGGACAGATTCACAACGATTCCAAAGCTAAATCAGACAGACTGAGAGTTACAGAGAATTGTTCTCTGGTTATAAAGAAGGTCACAGAGGAGGATGCTGGTTATTACACCTGCAGACAGCTCAACAGATCAGGAGAACAACAAGGTCCAGACTCTGAGGTTCTTCTGTCTGTTGTTTCCAGTGAGTATTTACATCATGATGTTTCAAACTGTCTCTATAGAGCAATATACTGAAACATTACAATAATAATGATTACAGTGATGAAGTTAATGTTACTCTGGTTGTCTTTCTCTCTCAATATCTCCATCTGCAGTGACTGAACATCAGGACAATGATGAGGTGACGTTACGCTGCTCTGTGTCGACAGATGGATGGTGTTTACACCCAGTGAAGTGGCTGCTTCAGGGTCGAGATGTGGACAAAGATCACAGAGAGATAAACACATCACTGTCTTACTGCTCTGCCTCTGTGACATTTCAGACTTCTCTCTTTAGTAACACAACAAGGTCTGAGTTGGTTTCTTGTGCAGTAACTAATGTGTTCACAGGAGAAGTTCATCTGTTTCCCTTCAGCGCTCAGTCCTCAGGTGAGAACACGTTGAGATGTTTAAAATCACTTCTAACAGTCTTGTTATTAGAATATACTGAAACAACACATTTACAACGTCTCACATTTATCAGGGATGTAATGAGTTTCTGAAATGTGAAGAGACGGAAGGTTCTGATAAAAAAGAGAAGCTCTTAATTGAGAAACCAGGTTAGAATATAATGAGTTGTTTCAAATCACTTATCACACATTTAATCACAGATAATGCTTTTTGGGGTTTGAGGTTTTGACGTCACTTCATTTTGTCATTTGGTTTATGCATAAAACCTTTTTTTTAACTACAGTTTTTTGCATGATGTTGTTTTGTTCCTGAAGGAGATGCTACAACAACTGGAACAGCAATTGATGAATGGACATCTGAAAGCAACACCGGAACAGGAGCAGACTGCAAACATCCAGAAGGACCAGGTAGAGACTGAAGAGAAGAAATACATTAACAGCTAAAAACCTCTGACTGTATTTCACACTTGGGACTTCTCTCTCTCCAGCTGTGTGGTGGGTCATCCTGGTGTCTGTGGGGTTAGCAGCTCTCGTCGTCACCGTGGTTACGGTCCACATCTGGACCAGAGCTAAAGGTGAGGGTTCATAGATTCAAGAGAAAAGACAAAGGAAACCGTGGAAGCTGAAGTCAACATGTTTGTCTTTTTGTTTTTTTCAGGGGGCAAAAAAGGGATGAGAAAAAACCTGGTGAGTTTAAATATAAAATAATAGCTTGTAATATTTATTATTTTCATTGAACTGAGATTATAAGACAGGCAGAAGATTCAACAAAGGAGTAAAGTGTGCATGTTGTGTTGAAATGAAGTATCTCTGTGGGTCCCTTGAGCAAGGCACTAAAGGAAGTACAGATATATTGTACTTCATTACATTACATTGCATTTAGCTGACGCTTTTATCCAAAGCGACTTACAATAAGTACATTCGACCAGGAAGACACAACCTTGAAGAAAACAGAATCATAAAGTACATCAGGTTTCATAGAGCCAAACATTTCAAGTGCTACTCAACTGGCTTTAGATAAGCCAGTCCTTTACATTACAAGTAGCAATACTACAATAATCTACAATACTCTAATATATAAATATGATTAATAATACAAATATACCTACATTGAAAGAACTGATTATGCAGAATGTAATAATATAATATGTGATTATAATAAGTGATGTTTTAATGTGTATCACTTCCATTTGCAATGAATGGTTTATTAAAATGACTTACATACTACTGGGTAGCTGAACTAGTTATATTTGTCATGTAATACATCATAGATGGAGATTTCTGCTCAATTTAAGAATGAAGTAAATACATAATAAAAAAGGAATATAAAACATGTTAAAGAAAGAATGTGTAATAAAGATGAATGGATGAAGACGAGTAAAAAGTTCAACACGAAGCTCCAAAACAAGGAGCCGTTAAAGTGTAAAGTAGCATTAACTGATGATAGTCAAGTCAAGTCCTTCAAGTATGTACTGAAGTAGAAAACTGAGTAAATGTACTTAGTTACTTTCCAGCTCTGCTCTGTGTTTTTACCATGTCTCTGTTCCATGCTGACAGGAGCAGAATGATGAAGATGAAGATGAGGTGAACTATGAAAACGATGGAGGGGCTTCTGCCTCTGTGTGACTGATCAACAACATCAACTCCCCTCAGAGTCCATGCTGTCAAACATCACCTCCTCATATGTTAGAGGAGAAAACAGGAGAACCATGAGATCATTGGAACATTTCTGATGCCTGAGAACACCTGAGCCCCACGAGAGGCCCTTCAGAAACTCACCTCCATGTGATAGGAGACACAGCTTATTGTATTCATTCCTTTCTGACTGAACGTCCTTTAAGTGTGCTCTCACATTCCCATACATAGTTATACTGGATCTGATCTATAGTCTGCAGTCTCTGGATAACATCTCTATATTAGCAGTACTTGTACTCACACCTTATACCTTCACTTCTCACTGTAACTGCTGCACATGTTCAAACATACAAGTGTTGGGTTGAATTCAGATTTTTTTTTAATTCTAATATTTATGTTTTCATTGTGCTCGCTAAGGACTTTCAATCAAACTTGGTCTAATCAATTTTAAGAATGTATTTGATTTGTTTTTCAATTAATGATTCATAAAATGTCTTATAATTAGCATAGCGTGTACTTATACCTACAGTATATATACCTGTACTGCCTACTGTAACTGCTGCACATGCTGTATATATCTGATCAATAGTCTATACCATATATTTACTATAGGCTACTCACTTTTTACTCTATGTGTATTCCTAAAGCTGAAATGCCTCCAGTATCTTAGGATGTTTTAATTAGCTTAAGTCCTAATGGAATATGTTTCTCCTTTTTTTTACTACGGCTTTAATGAAATATCATCCAAATAAAAAGAGTACTTTTAAATGAATGTTATAATGAGTTGTGTTTCTCTCTCTATCTCCAACACACTGACAACACAACGCTTTGTTGGGTTTAACCCCTCTCTTTGCCCTGGCTCTCACTTTGTAAACAACATACAGTTTGTGTCAGAGCCAAGGAAACACAAACTGTATGTTGTTTAGCTAGCGGAAACCCTGGTTTGTACGTGTCAACGATGAATCTTCCACGCAAACCAAAGTTAGCCATGGAGTGCCACAGGGCTCAGTGCTCGGACCTATTTTGTTCACATTATATGCTTCCGTTAGGCAATATTATAAGGAATCATTCTGTACATTTTCATTGTTATGCGGATGATACTCAACTATATTTATCAATCAAGCCTGATGAAGTTAATCATCTAAATAAAATTACATTACATTGCATTTAGCTGACGCTTTTATCCAAAGCGACTTACAATTAGTACATTCAACCAGGAAGATACAACCTTGAAGAAAACAGAATCATATAAGTACATCAGGTTTCATAGAGCCAAACATTTCAAGTGCTACTCAACTGGCTTTAGATAAGCCAGTCCTTTATTAGTATAAAAGTGCTTCGTTAATAGTTCTAACGCTCGAAGTGGAGTCGAAAGAGATGAGTTTTCAGTCTGGAAGGTGTGTAAGCTATCTGCTGTCCTGATGTCAATGGGGAGCTCATTCCACCATCTTGGAGCCAGGATAGCAAACCCACGTGTTTTTGCTGATGGGAACTTGGGTCCCCTCGCAGCGAGGGTGCAGCGAGCTGTTTGGCTGATGCAGAGCGTAGTGCACGTGCTGGGGTGTACGGTTTAACCATGTCCTGGATGTAGGAAGGGCCAGATCCATTCGCAGCATGGTACGCAAGTACCAGTGTCTTGAAGTGGATTCTAGCAGTTACCGGAAGCCAGTGAAGGGAGCGGAGGAGCGGAGTGGTGTGGGAACATTTTGGAAGGTTGAAGACCAGACGAGCCGCTGCATTCTGGATGAGCTGCAGAGGTCGGATGGCACATGCAGGTAGACCAGCCAGGAGGGAGTTGCAGTAGTCTAGGCGTGAGATGACGAGAGCCTGGACCAGAACCTGCGTGGCTTTCTGGGTCAGCTGGGGACGTATCTTCCTGATGTTGTAAAGCGTGTATCTGCAGCAACGGGTTGTAGCAGCGATGTTTGCAGTGAAGGACAGGTTGTTATCTAGGGTCACACCCAGATTCCTTGCAGTCTGAGTCGGGGAAACAACTGAGGTGCCGATGTTGATTGTTAGGTCAAGAGTGGGACAATCTTTTCCTGGAAGGAAAAGCAGTTCAGTCTTGTCAAGATTGAGCTTGAGGTGATGAGCAGACATCCACTGAGAGATAAAATAATAAAATAAATAAAATTCAAGACTGCCTTAAGGACTTAAAAACGTGGATGACCTTAAACTTTTTGATGTTAAACACGACCAAAACTGAAGTTATTGTACTTGGCCGAAGAATCTACGAAACAAATTATCTAAGGATATATTAACTATGGATGGCATTCATTTGGCCTCCAGTGAGACTGTAAGGAATCTTGGTGTTATATTTGATCAGGATTTATCCTTTCACGCCCACATAAAATCAATTTCAAGGACCGCCTACTTCCATCTACGTAACATTGCAAAAATCAGGCATATCTTGCCTCAAAACGATGCAGAGAAACTAGTCCATGCATTTGTTACTTCAAGGCTGGATTATTGTAACTCCTTATTATCAGGGTGTACCAAGAAGCCAGTCAAGTCGCTTCAGCTGCAATTATTTTTGGTTACCATTTTGTTTGTATTATTATATAAATTAAATCAAATCATAATAATAAAAACAAATGTTTAAATAATTATTCATCCTGGGGTACATTTAAATGTATAATAGTTGCACAATTTTAGAAATAAAATAAGGATTAAAAGATTAAAAAAATTGGGGATATTTCTTATTAAATACTCAGATCTTGTACTTGAGTAACAGTAGAAGTACTCAGCTCTTGTACTTGAGTTAAAGTAGAAGTACTCAGATCTTGTACTTGAGTAAAAGTAGAAGTACTCAGCTCTTGTACTTGAGTTAAAGTAGAAGTACTCAGATCTTGTACTTGAGTAAAAGTAGAAGTACTCAGATCTTGTACTTGAGTAGAAGTACTCTGATCTTGCACTTGAGTAGAAGTAAAAGTACTCAGATCTAGTACTTGAGTAGAAGTAGAAGTACTCAGATCTAGTACTTGAGTAGAAGTAGAAGTACTCAGATCTTGTAGTAAAAGTAGAAGTACTCAGATCTTGCACTTGAGTAGAAGTAGAAGTACTCAGATCTAGTACTTAGTAAAAGTAGAAGTACTTAGATCTTGTGGTAAAAGTAGAAGTACTCAGATATTGTACTTGAGTAAAAGTAGAAGTACTCAGATCTTGCACTTGAGTAGAAGTAGAAGTACTCAGATCTAGTACTTAGTCAAAGTAGAAGTACTCAGATCTTGTAGTAAAAGTAGAAGTACTCAGATATTGCACTCGAGTAAAAGTAGAAGTACTCAGATATTGTACTTGAGTAGAAGTAGAAGTACTCAGATCTTGTAGTAAAAGTAGAAGTACTCAGATCTTGCACTTGAGTAGAAGTAGAAGTACTCAGATCTAGTACTTAGTAAAAGTAGAAGTACTCAGATATTGGAGTAAAAGTAGAAGTACTCAGATATTGTACTTGAGTAAAAGTAGAAGTACTCAGATCTTGCACTTGAGTAAAAGTAGAAGTACTCAGATCTTGTACTTGAGTAGAAGTACTCAGATCGTGTACTTGAGTAAAAGTAGAAGTACTCAGATCTTGTACTTGAGTAAAAGTAGAAGTACTCAGATCTTGTTCTTCAGTAAAAGTAGAAGTACTCAGATCTTGTACTTGAGTAACAGTAGAAGTACTCAGATCTTGTACTTGAGTAAAAGTAGAAGTACTCAGATCTTGTTCTTCAGTAAAAGTAGAAGTACTCAGATCTTGTACTTGAGTAAAAGTAGAAGTACTCAGATCTTGTTCTTCAGTAAAAGTAGAAGTACCAGAGTGTAGGAATACTCTGTTACAGTAAAAGTCCTGCATTCAAAATGTTCCTCAAGTGAAAGTAGAAAAGTATTCTCATCAAAATATAGTGAAAGTAGCGACAGTAAAAGTAGTCGTTGTGCAGATTGGTCCATTTCAGAATAATATATATGATATGTTTTATAATGATTGATCATGAAAGTGTTCTCAAAGCTGGTGAAGGTGCAGCTAGTCTGAATGACTTTGTATACTGCAGGGTAGCTGGAGGATTTACTCCAGGTGGAACTAAAGTCTGATTTAACACTTGATTATATTTCACATCATTCATCCACATCTGTGAAGTAACTAAAGGGATTAAATACATGTAGTGGAGGAAAAGTGGATGCAGTACCTCCTCCCTGTCGCCAGTTAGCGCTGTTCTCTTTCTGATCTCCTGTAAAGTAATCCTCTCTTCCTCTGCGGGGTGAAAGGACACAAATAGCCGACATGACAACATTAAGACCCTTTAACTGCGATGATCTGTTCAAATTCAACAATATGTGAGTGAATTGCCTTCAGTTGAACTCTCCTTTAGTGCTTCCTTCACCACGTGCTGCTGTGTTTGTGTCCTGATGTTGTTGTTGTTTAGCAGCTAGCAGGCTAACATGCCGGACAACGGTGCTGTGCAGAACTCCATTCATAAATAACACGGATTTAAGTGTTTATATTTTTAATTAGAGATAATATTAGGTGATATATCTGATAGGAACATATAGTGAATTGTTAGGGTCTTCTGGAGGAATCGGCACATGTTTCGAAAGTAAACAAGCTCACTATTCGGTAGCTAGTTATATTTGTTATTCTCCATATTATTAGGTTTTTTAAAAAAATGAAATACTATTGGTTTTTTATTATTTATTTATTCATTATTTTATTTTATTTTACAAACAATACACATAGGACTCTTTAAAGTAGAGACACTACATACTGATATACACCTGAACATCAGCAGGAGAGGACTCTTTAAAGTAGAGACACCACATACTGATATACACCTGAACATCAGCAGGAGAGGACTCTTTAAAGTAGAGACACTACATACTGATATACACCTGAACATCAGCAGGAGAGGACTCTTTAAAGTAGAGACACTACATACTGATATACACCTGAACATCAGCGAGGAGAGGACTCTTGAAAGTAGAGGACAACTACATATGCTGATATACACCTGAACATCAGCAGGAGAGGACTCTTTAAAGTAGAGGACACTACATACTGATATCAACCCTGAACGTCAGAAGCAGGAGATGAGGACCATCTTTAAAGTAGAGGAACCTACATACTGCTATACACCTGAACATCAGCAGAGAGAGGACTCTTTAAAGGCAGAGACACTACATAATGATATACATCCTGAACATCAGCGGTGAGGATGAGGACTCTTTAAAGCAGAGACACTACATACTGATATAAAAAAAAACCACCTGAACATCAGGAGGAGAGGACTCTTTAAAGTAGAGACACTACATACTGATATACACTGAACATCAGCAGGAGAGACTCTTTAAAAGCAGAGACAACTACATACTGATATACACCTGAACATCAGGAGAGAGGACTCTTTAAAGTAGAGACACTACATACTGATATACACCTGAACATCAGCAGGAGAGGACTCTTTAAAGTAGAGACACTACATACTGATATACACCTGAAACATCAGCAGGAGAGGACTCTTTAAAGCAGAGACACTACATACTGATATACACCTGAACATCAGGGAGGAGAGGACTCTTTAAAGTAGAGACACTACATACTGATATACACCTGAACATCAGCGGGAGAGGACTCTTTTAAAGCAGATACACTACATACTGATATACACCTGAACATCAGCGGGAGAGGACTCTTTAAAGCAGATACACTACATACTGATATACACCTGAACATCAGGAGGAGAGGACTCTTTAAAGTAGAGACACTACATACTGATATACACCTGAACATCAGCAGGAGAGGACTCTTTAAAGTAGAGACACTACATACTGATATACACCTGAACATCAGCAGGAGAGGACTCTTTAAAGTAGAGACACTACATACTGATATACACCTAAACATCAGCAGGAGAGGACTCTTTAAAGTAGAGACACTACATACTGATATACACCTGAACATCAGCAGGAGAGGACTCTTTAAGTAGAGACACTACATACTGATATACACCTGAACATCAGCAGGAGAGGACTCTTTAAAGTAGAGACACTACATACTGATATACACCTGAACATCAGCAGGAGAGGACTCTTTAAAGTAGAGACACCACATACTGATATACACCTGAACATCAGCAGGAGAGGACTCTTTAAAGTAGAGACACTACATACTGATATACACCTGAACATCAGCAGGAGAGGACTCTTTAAAGTAGAGACACTACATACTGATATACACCTGAACATCAGCAGGAGAGGACTCTTTAAAGTAGAGACACTACAATACTGATATACACCTGAACATCAGCAGGAGAGGACTCTTTAAAGTAGAGACACTACATACTGATATACACCTGAACGTCAGCAGGAGAGGACTCTTTAAAGTAGAGACACTACATACTGATATACACCTGAACATCAGCAGGAGAGGACTCTTTAAAGCAGAGACACTACATACTGATATACACCTGAACATCAGCGGGAGAGGACTCTTTAAAGCAGAGACACTACATACTGATATACACCTGAACATCAGGAGGAGAGGACTCTTTAAAGTAGAGACACTACATACTGATATACACCTGAACATCAGCAGGAGAGGACTCTTTAAAGCAGAGACACTACATACTGATATACACCTGAACATCAGGAGGAGAGGACTCTTTAAAGTAGAGACACTACATACTGATATACACCTGAACATCAGCAGGAGAGGACTCTTTAAAGTAGAGACACTACATACTGATATACACCTGAACATCAGCAGGAGAGGACTCTTTAAAGCAGAGACACTACATACTGATATACACCTGAACATCAGGAGGAGAGGACTCTTTAAAGTAGAGACACTACATACTGATATACACCTGAACATCAGCGGGAGAGGACTCTTTAAAGCAGATACACTACATACTGATATACACCTGAACATCAGCAGGAGAGGACTCTTTAAAGCAGATACACTACATACTGATATACACCTGAACATCAGGAGGAGAGGACTCTTTAAAGTAGAGACACTACATACTGATATACACCTGAACATCAGCAGGAGAGGACTCTTTAAAGTAGAGACACTACATACTGATATACACCTGACATCAGCAGGAGAGGACTCTTTAAAGTAGAGACACTACATACTGATATACACCTGAACATCAGCAGGAGAGGACTCTTTAAAGTAGAGACACTACATACTGATATACACCTGAACATCAGCAGGAGAGGACTCTTTAAAGTAGAGACACTACATACTGATATACACCTGAACATCAGCAGGAGAGCACTCTTTAAAGTAGAGACACTACATACTGATATACACCTGAACATCAGCAGGAGAGGACTCTTTAAAGTAGAGACACTAACATACTGATATACACCTGAACATCAGCAGGAGAGGACTCTTAAAGTAGAGACCACTACAATACTGATATACACCTGAAACATCAGCAGGAGAGGACTCTTTAAAGTAGAGACACTACATACTGATATACACCTGAACGTCAGCAGGAGAGGACTCTTTAAAGTAGAGACACTACATACTGATATAACACCTGAACATCAGCAGGAGAGGACTCTTTAAAGTAGAGACACTACATACTGATATACACCTGAACATCAGCAGGAGAGGACTCTTTAAAGTAGAGACACTACATACTGATATACACCTGAACATCAGCAGGAGAGGACTCTTTAAAGTAGAGACACTACATACTGATATACACCTGAACATCAGCAGGAGAGGACTCTTTAAAGTAGAGACACTACATACTGATATACACCTGAACATCAGCAGGAGAGCACTCTTTAAAGTAGAGACACTACATACTGATATACACCTGAACATCAGCAGGAGAGGACTCTTTAAAGTAGAGACACTACATACTGATATACACCTGAACATCAGCAGGAGAGGACTCTTTAAAGTAGAGACACTACATACTGATATACACCTGAACATCAGCAGGAGAGGACTCTTTAAAGTAGAGACACTACATACTGATATACACCTGAACATCAGCAGGAGAGGACTCTTTAAAGTAGAGACACTACATACTGATATACACCTGAACGTCAGCAGGAGAGGACTCTTTAAAGTAGAGACACTACATACTGATATACACCTGAACATCAGCAGGAGAGGACTCTTTAAAGTAGAGACACTACATACTGATATACACCTGAACATCAGCAGGAGAGGACTCTTTAAAGTAGAGACACTACATACTGATATACACCTGAACGTCAGCAGGAGAGGACTCTTTAAAGTAGAGACACTACATACTGATATACACCTGAACATCAGCAGGAGAGGACTCTTTAAAGTAGAGACACTACATACTGATATACACCTGAACATCAGCAGGAGAGGACTCTTTAAAGTAGAGACACTACATACTGATATACACCTGAACATCAGCAGGAGAGGACTCTTTAAAGTAGAGACACTACATACTGATATACACCTGAACATCAGCAGGAGAGGACTCTTTAAAGTAGAGACACTACATACTGATATACACCTGAACATCAGCAGGAGAGCACTCTTTAAAGTAGAGACACTACATACTGATATACACCTGAACATCAGCAGGAGAGGACTCTTTAAAGTAGAGACACTACATACTGATATACACCTGAACATCAGCAGGAGAGGACTCTTTAAAGTAGAGACACTACATACTGATATACACCTGAACATCAGCAGGAGAGGACTCTTTAAAGTAGAGACACTACATACTGATATACACCTGAACGTCAGCAGGAGAGGACTCTTTAAAGTAGAGACACTACATACTGATATACACCTGAACATCAGCAGGAGAGGACTCTTTAAAGTAGAGACACTACATACTGATATACACCTGAACATCAGCAGGAGAGGACTCTTTAAAGTAGAGACACTACATACTGATATACACCTGAACATCAGCAGGAGAGGACTCTTTAAAGTAGAGACACTACATACTGATATACACCTGAACATCAGCAGGAGAGGACTCTTTAAAGTAGAGACACTACATACTGATATACACCTGAACATCAGCAGGAGAGCACTCTTTAAAGTAGAGACACTACATACTGATATACACCTGAACATCAGCAGGAGAGGACTCTTTAAAGTAGAGACACTACATACTGATATACACCTGAACATCAGCAGGAGAGGACTCTTTAAAGTAGAGACACTACATACTGATATACACCTGAACATCAGCAGGAGAGGACTCTTTAAAGTAGAGACACTACATACTGATATACACCTGAACATCAGCAGGAGAGGACTCTTTAAAGTAGAGACACTACATACTGATATACACCTGAACATCAGCAGGAGAGGACTCTTTAAAGTAGAGACACTACATACTGATATACACCTGAACATCAGCAGGAGAGGACTCTTTAAAGTAGAGACACTACATACTGATATACACCTGAACATCAGCAGGAGAGGACTCTTTAAAGTAGAGACACTACATACTGATATACACCTGAACATCAGCAGGAGAGGACTCTTTAAAGTAGAGACACTACATACTGATATAAAATAACAAAAACGAGATTTAAGTAATCCTAATTCTAAAAATAATGAGGAGCGAGCTGTTTAGCAACTAACATAAATACCCATTTGATTGAGTTTGTTTTATTATTAATTCATTATTTTTGTATTGTTACTGGCTCCGTCTCTGAGTCAGGATATTCAACAGCAAATCTGTAAATAACTTTATGCAATATATACTTTTATATATTTAATGTATTGTACTTTTTCTGCTGTTATTTAGCTGCTATCACAACACTTATACATGCTACACTTGTTTATTTTCATAGACTTCATAGCGTATATTTAAATGATGTTAAAGAATCGTTAAATTGACGTATGATAAATAACATTTAATGATTTTAATCACTGATGTGTATCTGTGTTTTTGTCCAACAGCAACCTGGACCCATTGACAGAAACTGTATCCTCCATTTCATGTTAATTTCTCCTATCATGCAAAAGTCACTTTGTGATGTCTTCTCTCCATCACCATATGCCCCGGTGTGTCGGAGAACTCACGCAGCGTCAGGAAATAAAACCCTCTCTCTTTTCCTCCGTACTCAAATCTCTAAAAACGGGGAACAACGGAGCTGATCCAGATTTGCGTCCGATATGACGTAATATCTGAAATGTGGATCCACGGCCCAATCAGAAACGTTGCTATCAGAAACAATGCCCGAATGTTTTGGACGTAATATGGTCGGTGTTTACATTAGCATCGCTAACACTCAGAGCTAACCTGTACTGGAGAGCATGTGTGTGAAGAAGCAGGAAGTAAAAAGGAACTCACCTTGTGGTATAACCGGCAAGAGAGAAATTCTTTGAGCTCCAAACTGTTTCAGAGAGGATCCTTGATAATCCATGATATGGCGTTTCATCACGGCAGCATTTAGTTTAGACAGTAGCTGCCGGGTCCCGCATGAGCTCAGACCCTCCTCTTTAAAGCTTTATACCAGAATCAGCACTTTAGAAACAGGAAGTGGAATAGAGGGATAAGAGGCATGGCTAGAATGATCTGTTTGGTGTTTGGAGCAAAACACTTCATAGACATGTTTTATATACATTTGTATATATCTGAGAGCTCTGCTGTTGCCTACACACAGCATGGTAGGTGACCTTTTAGATTTAATTATGTACTTATTTAATTTGACAGAAAGCATTTCCTCTTGCAGTGGAGTGCTGTAATATGTAATAGTTAATTAAAGTCATTCATAATTCTGCACTATACCTGCTAGCAAGATGTCAATATCATCTTCATCAACATCTTCATAATCATCATCGTCTTCATCATCTTCACTAGCTAAAGACTCTGATGTCTGACGTCTTCTTGTCATGTCATATATTTATAAAAGTCTATTCTAATGTTATATAAGTGCGTTGTTTCCTTAACCTCTGACCTCAGTATGGGATCCCGTTCTACCTGCAGTACCTGGCCCACTGGCCCGAGTACTTCATCGTAGCTGAAGCTCCTGGAGGGGAACTCATGGGATACAGTGAGTTACTCTTTAAACAACAGCATTATATTTACAAGAGAAATTCACTTTTTAAGCTCCTATTTTTCATTCTAACATACATCGCTGTCAAAGGTCCTCTGGTGCATGTAGCTGCTGCGTTTAGATATTTGCAAGAGGAAATACATGTCCTTTTCTTTGCTCATATTGTCAAGGCAGTATGTAGAAAGGTTAGACAGATCAACAGACCATACCAATGCATTTTAGGGTTTAATAGAACAACACAAAGCTTCTCTTGGTCACTTTCAACCCATTGATGCTGTCTGTCGTTTCAGGATTATATACGGCTGTTCTGAGATCTGAGTTTATAAGAACACCAAGAGCAAACTAATAAAAACAAAACTGCAATGACGCTTGATATAAGATGCATTGTGGGACATGTAGTTTATGGACAACGTGCTTATGTAAAGCGTTATGTAACCATATAAGAATAATAATTTTAATAATAATACATGACACTTATACTATTTAGAGGCGAAGTCCCGCCCATCTACTTCCGCCCCATGGGACCTTATTTCTGAAAAAGTATGTATTGAAGTCAATGGAGAGAAAACGTATCTTTCGATCCCGTTTGAATTGTGCCACGAATTACACATATGATGTTTGTCAATCTTAACAAATAATTTCCACGTCAAAAAAGTCACAGTTTGTCGTGAAACTGTTGAAATATAAGACGATGAAAAATACGCAACTAGAAAGACTACAAATCCCAGAGTCCCGGTCCCGCATGCTGGCTCTCACGGAACCGACTAACTCCCCTTGTGTGTGTGCACAGCTCTCAACGTGCCCAGACTTGGAGTGATTTTCACCTCGTTTAATACTTTCCGCCTCGTTCTGAAAGAAAGAAGTGAAATGTTTCAACGTGACGGCCGTCTTGGTGTGTGGAGCGATGTGGGAGATGTAGTTCATTGAGCGGTTTCACACACAAATGGACAAACATCATATGTGTAATTCGTGGCTCAATTCAAACGGGATCAAAAGATAATCTTTCTCTCTCCATTGACTTCAATGCATACTTTTCTCTGAAATAAGGTCCCATGGAGGAAGGGGAGGGACTTCGCTTCTCTATAACGCTTTTCTAAAAACTCAAAGACGCTTTGACAGAGAATAAAACAACAATGAAGAAAATACATAGAGACGAACAAAAACAGCAATACTCATAAAATGAAGTCCTTGAGTTCGACACCTTAATAATAACCCTAGAGTAAAATGGCTCTAGAAAATGTGTTTAGGCTCTTCTAGTGTTCAGTGAGTGTCCTACTTTTTGTCTTTGTGTGCAGTCATGGGGAAGGCGGAGGGATCTGTGGCGCGGGAGGAGTGGCACGGCCACGTCACGGCCCTCTCTGTGGCCCCTGAGTTCAGGAGACTGGGCCTCGCTGCCAAACTCATGGAGATGCTAGAGGAGATCTCAGAGAGGTGAGGTTCAGTCATCCTGAATGTGAACATCAAAATGCTTCATCTGCAGAGAGAGGGGACGACAAGGGGGCTTCTGCTTTATAGAGATTACATCTATTTGACAAATATGTGGATAATGATGAGAGAAGGTGTCCATATTTAAATAGAAGGAAAAAGGTACTTGTGGGTTTTCTTCTGACTCTCTAAATAACCCTAACCCCTAGGATTCATGTGGTTTTATTTTGAGGAATGAAGACCTTCATGTGGAGGAGGTAGCTACCGCTATTCAAAAGGGGCGACGGATAACCCACGAGTAACAGTTTATCAAATGTGTTCAAATGAGGGACAAAATACACTTAAAAAAATATACATTAAGACTTTCTTTACCAATTTTCTTATCAGCACTCAAAATGTTAGATTTGCGTTGTCAATTTGTGGAATCATTCACTAATAATATCGATGTTTTTATGAAAAAATAACATATTTTCCCCCATGAGTTCTGAACACGTTACATCATTTATTAAGGTTTAAAATTCCCTTTTTCGTTCAAATTCTGAAAATAACTCATATTGAAAAGCTAGCAGAGGTCATCTCTTCATCATGGAGGTGGTCATTATGGGTTTGAATGTTGTGTTTTAGGAAATGTACATATTTTACACTTTCCCCCATGAGTTCTGAACACGTTAATATAAATGTAAGGTTTAAAACCCCCTCAAGTACCTTTTTGTCTTTTATTCTGGAAATATCTTGTATTGAAATCTCTTCATCCTGGAGGTGTTAATTACGGTTTTGAATGTTGTGTTTCAGGAAGGGCGGGTTCTTCGTGGACCTGTTTGTGCGCGTCTCGAACCAGGTGGCGGTGAACATGTACAAGCGCCTGGGATACAGCGTGTACCGCACGGTCATCGAGTATTACTCCGCCAGCAACGGGGAGCCGGACGAAGACGCCTACGGTGAGCATCAATATCAACACAGCATCCATCTGGTGATTCCCTTTCCAAAGACACAGGTGTTTCAACCTGCCTGAGTTAGTTAAAGGATCATCGAGTGGGGTTGTGACTGAAAGTAAAGATCATTTTTTAAATAAAGTCTTCCTCTGTGATGCGTTCAGGCGCTTGGGAGTGAGTTGCTTCCGAGAACTGAGCTGTAGAAGCTAATCAAAAGTTATTTATGAATGCCGTCTTCTTCTACAAATACTGTCTTTAAATTAAACATATTATTTTCCACTTTTAAGTATTTGAATGTTGAGCACACTGGTCCTGTAACAAAAATAATTTCCAATTTTGGGATTAATCAAGTATCTATCTATCTATCTATCAGGCTGGCTAAATAAATGAAAGTTTTAGTCGCTTAAATCCTTGCAGATGTTTACCTTAATACCCAACAATAGAGTTTAGTTTGTGCTTCTCAAAGAATTAAACACCAGCATTTTCTTGCACAAAGAAATGTGTGTTATTCTTGAAAATCTACAAAACACACCTTTTTGAAGAAAAGGTGTTCTAGCTGCAAAGACACGTTTTTTTATATACTATATTCAAAGCCTTGAGCAACACAAATTACATCTGGGCTGATGGTGTTTGAAAAGAAACATCTCAACCTTATTTATGGACTTTTAAACTAGATGTTTAGCGTTTCATCAGTGGGACTATGTCATAAATCAAGTATCTATCTATCTAGAAGGCTGGCTAAATAAATGAATGTTTTAGTCGCTTAAATCCTTGCAGATGTTTATGTTAATAATACCCTACAGAATCAGGGTCTATGCAGGAATCCTGAAGTCAATGTAAGATCTTTTTTAAGACCCTTTCCATACGTTTTAAGACCTCATCTCCACTTGGAGTTCTAACAGGTTACCATGGCGACACACTTCACCTCACATTGACTATATACAGTATTGATTGTCCTTCCTCCTTATCTTCCAACCATTTGGACGCAGACTTGCATTTCCCCATAACGATGTTGTTTAACAACCGGCGTAAACGGACCTTCACGCTATCGAGCAGTGAGCGTGCGATGTCCTGTTCAGATGACGTCAAACCCAACGGGATGCCAGAAATAAACTACACAGAACCACACTACACACCTACGCCATGATTACATTCAGGCAGACTGTGTAAGGGAAACTTCTGTAGCAATGGAGAGTCAGGACTCAGAGAGACACGGGACGAGCAGGAGTTCTGATGTCAAACACTGGCAGTTTATTACAAGCATCGGCCGGAGAATTCATATCACAAGTCACAGCAGCAGAAAGTTCTGACTGCACCGGTGGGTTGCCATGTCAATTCTGAATCCCTTCTCCTCTTGGCAGACCTTTAATTAGCTTCACTCAGAGTCAACCCCCATATTGGGGAAAGCATCTGTGAACACCTGGAGGGCACTGAATCACTTTATCTGACTCTATGGCTCTTGTGACCGAGAGTTGACCGGTCATAAAGTCAGCAATAGCTGACAGTTCCCATTCCTTAAGACAGATAACAGACTTCGGCTTCGTCGTAAAACGTCAACAGGCCGAAAGGTCAAATATCTTAGGAGTAAGGAGAATTATTCTTTGACACTTAGGAGTAAAGACAAAATGAATCCCTCACAGACTGTAGAATACAACCTCTCTGGACCATTTATATACTTATTGAAAACAAGCTACAAAATGTAAGACCTTGGAAAATACCGTTTTTTCATTTTCGGTAAATTGATTTATTAACGTTTAATACTCTTTAAGACCCCGCGGACACCCTGTCAATGCAGTTTAGTTTGTGCTTCCTACATTTTTAAACACCAGCATTTCTTGCAAGAATAATTGTGTTATTGTTGATAATCCACAGCAGTCATTTGAACTGAAGTAAAGGGCATCTGGTGGATCATTTAGCTGCAAACTGACATGTTTTATTATATCTAAACACACACTACATCTCCATAGAATCTGGGATCATCTCAACCTTATTTATGGGCTTTCAAACTATAGATTTTTAGCGTTTCATCAGTGCCACTATGTCAGGAAATCTGTTGTTTAGCTTGAAAACCACCTGATATCAAACCCAGACTAGGTTTCCTGCGGTCTTCAGACTCTGGCCTGCTTACCACCCCCCGCACCAAACTGCGAACCTTCGGGGACAGAGCCTTCAGCGTGGCAGCCCCACCCTCTGGAACGCTCTCCCTGCGGAGATCCGCAACATCCCCACACTCTCCGCCTTCAAAAGGGCCCTCAAGACCCATCTGTTCACCAAGGCCTTTGGCCCCTAATCTATTTGTTGTTTTTGTCTGACTGCCTTTTTGTTGTGCCCTGTTCTTCCTTGTAACGCGACCTTGGGTCCCATGAAAGGCGCTATATAAATCTAAGCTATTATTATTAGGTTTGATTATTCCTCCATCTTCTCCCCTTGTTTCCAGACATGAGGAAGGCGTTATCCCGAGACATGGAGAAGAAGTCGATCGTCCCGCTGCCTCACCCCGTCCGCCCGGAGGACATCGAATAACAGCTGCTGGCTCTCTGACGCTCCTGATCATCATTTTATATAAACCACAGCTTCATTGTACATATTAAAGACCAAGCGCTCCACTCCTCCTCCAGAGTCAGAGAGCCTTTGATCCCCACCCAGTGAATTCTCTAAAGGCACTTGTTCTTAAGAAATGACACAGAAAGACGGTTTGAATTGACGTTTGTATAATGCAGAAAAACATGGACGTACAATAAAGATTGCTCATGAGCTGGTTTTTTTGTTTCAGTAAAAAAAAAAAAAATGGGGGAAACTTTTCTCCAAAATCTACTTCTTATCTTCATCCTTGCTCTTTTTCTTCTTTCCATCTTCTTCATCATCGCTGCTGCTGCTGCTCTCGCTGCTGCTGCTGCTGCTGCTTTCATCTCGATCATCTTCGTTCTTCTTCGGTTCGGTTTCAGTCTTTCTGTCCGAGTCGTTGTTTTCCGGCTGTTTCTCTGGAGGATCTGCAGCTTCATCAGACGACGAAGACGAGGAGGACGGAGCATCTTTGGGGGATCGTTCCGGGCTCTTTTCTTCCATTTCTTTGGGAGATTTTTCCGGGCTTTTGACTTCCATTTCTTCTGGGGATTTCTCTGCGTCCTCGTCCTCGTCCTCTTCCTCCACCACCTGCTTCCTCTTCCACATCTTGGCCATGGCGAGCAGTTTGAGGTTGGGCTGGTTGGCGGCGTCTTCGGGGAAGATGTAGTCGTAGTACTCCTCCCAACCTGCGTCCGACTGAAAGCACACAACACATTCAGATGAATTCCTCTTACTCTCATTGAGTTTGTCAGAGCGACAGTTAAGTGTCGAACTCAGCTCATCCAACAGCCTGGAGATATTTACTCTTTTTCACCAATGATTTTCAAGGACTTCTCCAGGACCTTTACCTAATTTTCCATGACCAAAAACATTACTCTCTCAGCGGAATACAAAGATACATTTAAAAAAATAATCTGCTATACAAATTAATAATAAAAAATACGCATGTACTTCTATAAACATAAGGATAAAACAGATGATAGAAAAATCCATAATTAAACGGTTAAAATACCAAAAAGCTTGGCAATAGGACGAAAAACATTTTCATGTCGATATTGTAGTGCTGTCCCGTAATAACAGGGTTCATACACTTTTTCACCAACGACTTTCAATGACTTCTCCAGGACCTTTGCCTCATTTTCCATGACCAAAAACATGACTCCTTCTCAGCAGTTCCACTGAAAATGGTTTATTTGAACTTGGAACAGGAAAATACGGTCTGCATCTGAAACATGTTGTGCCCGTCTGAAACAAATCCAATAGGCTCACTAGCTTCTACTCAAATCTCTCACCAGCCAAACACCTCGTCAGTTAACGGCATTTTACGTTTCATTATACGATACAGTATTTATTATCATTATAGTATTACTATTTCGGCGATTAGATAAAATATAAATTATATTTGATGCAACTTTAGTTACATTTCCATGACTTTTCCCAAACTTTGGGAAAAATATTGTTTTCCAGAGCCTGGAATTTGCATTTTGAATTTCCATGACTTTTCCAGGTTTTTAATGACCGTAAGAAGCTACTAGTTTAACCTTTAGACCTGCTGTTTCTGCTCTCCACTAACATCTCATCTACAACACATGTAACGATATGCCTTCCAGTCCTCACCCCGTCCTCGGCCGTCAGCTTCCTCCTCTTCTTCACCTTCTCCGGCAGCAGCTTCTGGACTCTCTCCATGGAGGTGTCGGAGCCGAACTCCTTCTCGAATTCGCTCCAGGACTCCAGCAGCATGAGGCGCTCCTCCTTCTCCTCGCAGCTCCTCATGCCCTTGTTGGCCTCCTCGAAGATCTGCCGGCTCTTCTGCAGACGCTCCGACCCGTCGATGGACAGCTCGAACTTAGCGAAGCTGATCCAAACCTAAAGAGGATTCAAGAGTTAAAGATAATATTAAAGACTTCAGTTAATAATGTGTCTGTCGTGAACGAGCTGATTCTTTTGAACGGCTCTTTGGTTCGAACGAGGGGAACCGAGTCGTGCTTGGTGAGAGCCGTTCTTGTTATCGTTCGATCGTTGGTCCGCACTCACTGCCTGCCAAAACCCACTCGCCTTTTAAAAAGCTTGATTTTGTTCCCAAACGTATTCTGTGAAGACCCGCAGCACTTGGATTCACTTCAACCAAAACCCAGGCAGTGATAAAGCGCACCATTTGGAAAGGCAGAATATCCTTTAAAGGGGACCTATCATGCAAAATGCACTTTTGTACATCTTGTATACATGAATATGTGTCCCCGGTGTTCCAGGGAACTCACCAAACCCTCTCTATTTTCCTCCATACCCAAATCTCTTAAAACTGGGCTGCAACGGATCTGATACAGACTGATACAGATTTGAACACTTCTGTGACGTCACAGAAGTGGCGCTACGGCTATTGGGCCAACTCCACCAATCAGGAGGAGACAGCCACGGACATTGCCGTTCGAAAGCGCTGGAGACGCTGTAGTACATATGCCAGGCCTGTAGGTGGCGCTGCTCTCACAGAATCAGCCCGTGCAAAGACAGTGTTAAATTGAACGAAATGAGGAATGGCTAAAATGCATGATCTGTTTGGTATTTTGAAAAATAAAAAGTATAAATATGCCTTATAGGTTTGGTCCTACACTATATTATTCAAATATAGCATGATAGGTCCACTTTAAAGCAGGGTCAACAAATAATCTCCATCACCACTTAAAAACACAGTATCTATAGGGCTGCTCGATTATGGCAAAAATCATAATCTCAATTATTTGGGTCAAAAATTGTAATTGCGATTATTAATTGCGATTATTCATTATCTTTGAAAACATCCATTTATTGGAGAAAAAAAATGTGAACAGTATGTTTTAACAGTTGATTACCCTGAACTTTAAGAATAATTCAACTGAAAAACCCACATTTCGTAATCGTTGCAAGCCATAATCGTAGTCGCGATTAAAATACGATTAATTGAGCAGCCCCAGTAACTAATATTAAGAGTTGCGTGAATTTCATTCAAGGCAACTTTATTTACTGAACACATACGGAGGGTAAATTCAAAGTACATTCACTGACATGATGACATGGATATGGCGCCACCTTGTGTCATGTTTACAATGCAGATTATTGACATTAGGTCTGGAATACAGTCAATCATTATCCGGGTGATTATTTCATAGATAAACCCAGTAGCCCCGCCCCCTTTAAAGAAACGGCTCTTTTGAATTCCCATCACTAACTTCAATGCACGACAGAGTGAAGGTGTGACAATTACAAATCTTAAGTCCTGGGCTTCTCCAACAGTAACACATACTTCAAGATCTCCTATTTTACTATTTGTAGGCATATAGCACAGGTCTCAGATATATACAAATATATAAAAAACATGTCTATGAAGTGTTTTGCTCAAAATACCAAAACAGATCATGCATTTTAGAAATCCCTCAAACCCCTCTGTCTCAGCTGTTACTAAAGAGGGGGGAGCTCATGCTGGAGAACTCTCCCAGCTAAATGCTGCCGTGATTAAACTCCATATCCTGTTCCAAACCACATCAAGGATTCTCTCTGAAACAGGATGGAGCTCAAACTCTTTCTCAGGTTTACCACAAGGTGACTTCCTTTTGATTTCCTGCTTCTTCACACATGCTCTCCAGTACAGGTTAGCTCTGAGTGTTAGCGTGCTAATGTAAACACAGACCACATCTCATTGTTTCTGACAGCAACGTTTCTGATTGGCCCGTGGGTCCACATTACAGATATTACGTCATGTCGGCAGCGACTCTGGATCAGCTCCGTGTGTTTTCTCTCGTTTAGTTATAAAACAGTGATTGCACTTCAACCATAAGTTGTTTTACAGCAGCACAGTTCTCACCTTGACGTGCTGAGTGCGCTGCAGAAGCCTCTTGTAAAGATTCCTCGTGTTCCCAAACTCCTCCTGCTCAATCTCAAAGTCAATGTAGGACTTCCACAGCACCTGGGAACAGAACAGAGATAGACACACTTATACCCTGTAAATACATAAAAACGTGTCAGTGTGTGTACTAGGGGTGTAACGGTACACGTACCTGTACCGAACGAATATAATGTTAAACCTAAAAAATTGAGAACGTGAACAACTTTTAGGAAGTAATCTCAGGCGCTGCGTCGCAGCGTTCAGAGTCATTTGCTCACATGGTGTTCAACGCGTCAGAGAGCGAGCAAGTCATTTCATTGGACGAGAGGCATACTATGAGAGCTGGTCAGAGGGATGCGTTCAAATGTAGTCAGTAATTTGAGGAACTGGCGAACGCAGATCAAGTTGAGCTGAAAATCCTCCAGCATCATTGAAGTCTCCGGTTTGGGAACATTTTGGTTTCGCAGTTACGTACAAGGATGACGGACAAAGACAGGTGGACCGAACCAAAGCTGTTTGTCGGTATTGTTCAACTAAAATTGGTTACGTGGCTGGCAATACATCAAACTTGCACACTCTTTGAAAAGGCATCACCCGAACGTGAATATCACCGGTACCAAAAGAAAAAAGACTGAAGTGCAAACCCAACTCCCACTAGCATGTAAGCCTCCACCACTCGCAGAGAGTTCAGACCGAGCCAAAGCTATTACAAACACCAAATATCCTTATGTTGCCATGTTAGCAAAGCGCTACCTGGCTGTATCTGCTACCTCTGTCCCTAGAGAGGGTTTTCTCCACAGCAGGAGACATTGTTAGTGCCAGCAGATCTGCCCTTTCGGCAGCAATGTGGACAAGTTCATCTTTCTTTAAACAACATGAATACAATGACAAGCAAGTCCTAATGTCAAGCTGGCTGCTTAGGTACTAGCACAGTACAGTTCAAATACAGATTATTTCAGTTCATCTAAATGCTGCACCTTAATGTTTATGGTATTATATTTTGTATTTATTTGAGTGAAAACATTATTCACAGTTTAATAATAATAATTAAAAATATATATATTTTATGTTTTGTTTTTTCTGCTGTACCGAAAACGAACCGAACCGTGACCTAAAAACCGAGGTACGTACGGAACCGAAATGTTAGTGAACCGTTACACCCCTAGTGTGTACACTTTCCAACACACATAACTTATAAAACAAGTTGTATAGAATAGACGTGCATTAGTGGAAACAAATCTACATTTTCAAATAAAAAACGTCCCCTATGAATATTTGACACTTTGTACACCCTAAAAATGAATAGAAACCTGTCGGTGTGTGTAATAATGAAAGGTGTCGGTGTGTGTGAAGTGAACGCAGTGTTTACCTCGGGCATGTCGAGCCGCGGCTGTCCGATGGCGAGCTCGAAGATGGCCCGGGCTCGCTCCACGTCTCCCAGGATGGTCTCCAGCTCGGAGAACTTGATCCACGTGGTGCAGTTCTCCGGAGTGAACTCCAGGTATTTCTCGTACAGCTTCCTGCAGCGGTCGAACTCTCTGAGCTGCAGCTCCAGCTCGATGTAGCCCTTCAGGAGCTTGTTCTTCGGGCATTTACCAATCGCTGTGCCCTGGAGGAGAGGAGGGA